CTACCATCTCCTCTGTAAAGGAGTTTCCAAGCCAGTTTTCTTGTGATAACATAACACCATTTGCATTTAAGTGTTTGTGTTCCATGTGAGGAAAAAAAAAGTTCCAAGTTCCCACACTTCATAGCATTTCTGACAAAAACCTTAGGTACAAGAGCTTATTTAATTTGTGAGCTCCAGGAAAGTTGTCAAAATTTTGAAAAGGCTGTTTTTCTTGCATTCTCCTTTACTGGGCTAAAAAACAGAATTTAAAGCTGAGGAAAAAAAGAAAAAGTTTGGAGATTCCACTGATGATTACAAGTAATCAAAGTCAAGTCTTTAATGAGGCCAGAAAAGGACTGAATTTACCTCACATTTTTTTTTCCCTCTGTGTTCCCAGACTGTAATTTGTGGGATCTGCTACACGGATTTAGCTATAGCCAAACTGCACAAGATTTATACAATTATTTTTCCTAGTTTTCATTAAATCAGTAAATCATTTGTTTGCCACTAATGACATGGAAGGCTCCTGGTTTTATCTTTACAGTGTTAATGTGGACACTTTAAACAGTACCAGAAATGGGAAGACCAGTATGCTTTCAGAATATTTTTAACACCCTTAGGCAGCTTTATTTGGACAGATGCCTTATTTTATTACCTTTCTTAAAATACAAACAGTGCTCAATAGCATTCTGCCTCATTTTTTTTCCTACCAGCTTCCTGAGCAGCTGCTGGGCATTTTCTTCTTCATATGATCTAGGATTCACTGCTGCCAGTAGATAGAACCTAAATGTAAATGCTTTCCCCTCCCTCCAGAAGCTCAAATGCAAATAAGTGGTCTGTAAGCATAATGAATACTTGTCTTTTGTCATAATGGCATGCAGAAATCAATAATGCACTATAAAAGCTTTTTTTAAAGTAAGGTCAGGCAGATCTTAAAAAAAGTCTGGGATGCTTATTCAGCAACGTGTCAATTTTCTATATTCTCTTTGATCTGAATTATAAAAATAATCTGTGGTGAACTATGGTACAAGTTAATTATAAGAAATTTCATGTGCTTGCAGAAGAAGTGTAAGGAGATCTGTTTGCAGTACCACACAGAGTTTTGTGGTAGTATTTTCAGACCTGAGGTAAATAAAGAGTAATAGCTAACACGAAAGGTTTTAATTACCACTAGGGAGGTAATTGAAATTTGTCTGAGGGGACAAAGCTATACTATGTACCTAATTAAAAAATATGTGCCAGTCCTTCAGGGACAGGATAATTTTCATTGTTGTGTTTTAGCTACTAATGTTCTAGAAAAGGAAAATTTGTAGTTATGAAGTTATGCATAGATTCTGTCTATGCATAGATGCAGTCTATGGTGGCATGTGGTGGTTTTCTCTTTGGCTATGTCCATGCACGGCTGTTTCATAAGGAATGCTCTATTTTTTTTCTAAAGCTGATAATTCTATTGTCTAGTGCATGAAATGAGATGAGAAAGAACTGACGTTGACATGCATCATCAGAGTGGAATAAACTTAAAGTATATACCTTTCTTATATGAGAGAAAATGTATTAATGTTTCCGTAGGAGAAATGTTGATGAATTAACTTCCTATCTCTGTATACAAAAATAATATCTCTGCATTCTTTTGGTTGCATTAATTTTCCTTGAGTATCTTCTACATCTCTCCTAGGTTGGCTGCTGGCTAAATTCTTTGAAAGTCTGCTCCTCTGTCTCATTGCTGTCTGGTGATTAAACCTTCCTTTCTAGGAGCAGTAATGTTGCCCCTGCATCCTTTAATTTCTTCTCCATAGAGATAGTTTTAACCACCTGTAAACTGAGTTCAGTGGCTTTTTGGCCATTACAGTATGCAAAATTATGGTTATATTTTGTTGAGGAAGGTGTGATGTCTTTCAACTAGTCAGTTCCTCTTTATTCCAGTTTGTTTTGCTGTGTGTCTGGGGGAGTCTCTCTTCAGTTTAATTAAACGTGCAACCTTCTGGAAATATGAATTGCTCTATGATGTATCAGTATGTTTTAAATTATATGTTAACTCTAATTGTAGTCAGGTAACTTGATTTATAATAAGGATACCAACTTTAGGCCCCTGAAAAGTGTGAATTATTCCATCTTTTTAAAGTACCTCTTCCCCATGACTTTTTCAGATGCATGATTCGTCAGTCATAATGAGTGTCTGATTTCTTTGGCAAGTGTTTTGCATTTTTATAGACTCATAAATATGGGATTGTTGTGGCTTCTAGCTGGTTACGGGCTTTGTGTTTAGTTGACAATACAGTCCTTTGGCAAGCTGGACCTGTCCTACCATACAGACATACAGTATGTTCCTTTTGGCCATCACAAGATCCTCAGTATAACAGATCAGTGAGAATTCAAACAACTTATTGAGTGTTACACCCCAGTAACAGTCTGCGTCTTCTGGTTTTTAGGTCCTTAAAGCAGAAGGGCCTAGTTTCCTTGAAAAATTAGTGAAGCTTTGAGAGAGCAATAAGTACATTTAACCAGGGATTATTTTCTTTTCACTGTTTATGTAAAGGTCCATATGCTCCTAACTTTAGCATTTTTATTACATTTATCAGATCTTCTGTTTCCCTTCTTGTCAATTCCCTTTTCATTTGGCAGCTGGTTCCTCAGTGACAAGATTGTTAACTTGAAACTTTTGTTTTCTGAGCTTCTTCAGACTTCCTTCCTTGTACATCTTTGCTCTGTTTCCACTCTGGTTTAATATCGCTCTTTCCTATTTTACTGGACTGTTTACTCTGTAGAAGATTTTTAAGTAACTTTGCTATCTTTAATCCAGCGTTCTACATTATTCTGAAGAGCTGGGGAATGCATGTCATTTATATTCCAAAGCTGTATTCAAACTATAGGCAAAATGACTAAACTATGTTTTAAGTGTGTTCACTGAAAGATTTTTCTTGATGCTTTTGGATATGATAAGATTTATTGTTATTTTCTAACAATGAATGCTGTGAAATACAGAGCTGCAATACCTTTCTCACCTTGTGTGAGCAAGTACTTCAAATCCTTGACAGGCAGCTTATTTCTCAAGATAAAACTATTTTGCCATTGACAAGACTTTTTGACACCTTATTTTTGAACTAAATAAAATTCTTCATGGAAATCAGTGAAACTTTTACATAAAGAATGCTGTAGTACTAACTGGATTTAAGGTCTTCAACTTCTGTTTAGAAAACAATAACTTTACTCAACACCAGGCGGTGTACAGTATCCGATTAACGCAGTTGTGGTTGATGAAATCTGGAGCAATGGCAAATGGGTTTTTTTTTAGGTTTCCAAGGAAACCAGTGCAATAAGGGCATATGGGGGTATGAATATACATATGCATGTATAAGAATTTCTTAAAATATAAAAAAAACAATATTGGAGGTGGGCTAAATATCCATATTTGTAAGTGAGCTATACTCAGCCTAGCTCTACTCCTCAAGCAACAAAATCTTTTCACTTGCTCTAAGTCTGAATTCTGCTTCTTACTGATCTTCTGTATCATCAGCTGGACACAGTGTGGTTTGTTTTCTCATAGACACCAATTATTGTCACTACTTCTTAAAAGTTAATTGGATAACCACAGAATAAATTCACTGAATATTTTTCCTTTGCAAGCTGTATGTGCTCAGTTGGAGATCTGTAGGTGAACTGTTTTTCATAAAAGATTGGAAGTCTAGTTAGAGTATCACACACTACGGAGCTGCCAAAATAATAAATTCTGAGTGTATGTAAGAGGAAAAAGATAAAAGTTTTCATACTAACTAGATATCTCATCTCTTCAGTGCAGTAGCCTGGACTGGCAGTACGTAGTACCGGTATTTTCAGCCCTCATTTAAGAATGATCAAACTTCAAGTAAATTTATTCAGTTCAATAGTAACATGGTTGTAGGGGAAATTTCTTCCGAAGCCCAAAGGACTGATGACCTTGTTCAGTCTGTGTGTACATGTTATTTACTTAAGCTTAATCTAAAGTTAGTTATGACTCTCCCAGGTTGTCAGTTTATCTCCAGCTCTTCAGTGTACATGAAGAGTTTGCTCTTCTCGATCTGTATGTTGGCATGTGATACACTGTAGGGATGTTGAAGGTCAGGGAAAGTTAATCTTTACAAACTGTACCATCTTGACACCTGCCTCAGTGATTATATTTGAAATAACTAAAAGACACACCTCCTGGTTTTGTTAATCTCAGCTGTAATGAAGTATATTATTTCCATTTTGTGTACTGCAGATATAGTAGATGAAGTTATTCTTCCCTGGTTCTAGAGAAATAAATATTTGAAAATTATTATATGGCCACCGTTTCTTTTTGCATGTCTTCTAGCAAACACAGGAGAGAGCATGATTGATTAAATCTGATGAATATTGAAAAAAAGTTGTCATTTCAGTCATTATGGAATTACTGTGCCTAAGTAAAAAATACTGATAATGGTATATTGGTTTATTAGAGTTTGGTTTTTTTTTTTTTTTTTTTTAGAGTTTGGGTTAATAAATTTTATAAATTTTGATGAATTAATTTGATAACTTTGTATCAGGTTAAGTGATGCGTTCTAAAGAAACTTCCACATTTCTCCCACAGATAAGGTCCATTATGTTTGCACCTTTTCTATATCAATGAAAGTAGCACTGTGTTGAAGGAAGTGGAAAATTGGAATGGTAGCAAATATTACTGATTGACATTTCTCTGAATTGACATTTTTCTAATTCTTTTTATAGTTAAGGCCTCAGTCCATCCCTATGGAGATAATTTTGATCTGATGTGTCATGGTAGTTGAGTTACACATAAGTAATAATTTGCTGATGATTTTTCATAGGTGGTTGTTTTCAGGTCTTTAGTGATTTCTGGATGTTGGTACCCTTCCCAAATACATTAAAATTATTGACCTTCACCTGAAATTTCTGAATTCTCAGGAATGTGTATATACGTCCAAGTACATATAAATTTTTTTTAAAGTAATGATGTCCATAACATATTTCAATGTCATATTTTTCTTTGTTTTTGTCTTCATTTTCAGGTCTGGCAGTTTCTCTTCAGTTGCTACATGGAGACATAGAACAAATTAGAAGAGAGTATACATCCATGTTTACCCATGGAGTATCCATAACAAGGAAGCTAGGTTTTTCCAATATTATAATGCCTGGTAAGTATAAAAGAAAAAGCTCTCAATAAGCAGCAAAATAAAGAACTAATGAGAAATTACTTATTTGTCAGCTGCTTTCCAAACAAAATACCTTATTCTAAAACTTCTGAAACTTTTTCAGAGACTTTTATGTTAGGTTTTTCAAGATAGAAGAAAACTAGTGGCCCCATTGCTTTATACATTGTGTAGTCAACATGTCAATGTCAAAAGGGCATAGACTCCTAGCAGCCTCTTCTAAGAGGTGGAACCTGACTTTGTAGAAGTAAAGATAACTGAATGCAAGATTGCTGAGCTCTGTGCAGAAAAAGATAGCCAGCAGAACATTGTGTTCTTAGGAGCTGGTAGCTTGCTAAATAAGGACTTGCAGAATTTCGCTGACACTGTACAGCTTCTGGTTTCACAAGGTTTGTGTTGCAGATTCTGGAAATGAAAATACTGGACATGGATAATAATAGGGGTATAGAGACTTTATTGTGATTGTATTGTATGACAAAATATGCAAATATTTAAACAGATGCTAAGGAAGGTAGAAAGATCGCATCAATATGAATGTGAAGAAGCAAATACAGCAAGAAGGTCACAATAGTATCTATAGTTCCAGCCCTGAAATGAAATTTTTAAGAAATTTAATGGGTTACTGGGAGTTATAAGGCAAATGTCTCTTTAAAGGAAAAGCATACTTCCAAGCAGACTACTTTGGCATGATTGCAGGGTTGTGTTGCCAAGAAATGTTGTAGGGAGGAGCTCGCATCTCAGTTTCCTGAGTCCACACACAATAACTTTACTCTCTCAAACATAAATCATCCTCTTGACTTGAAGTTCGTTAATGAAGACTACATTCTTCTTATAAAGATCTGTCGTTCCACTCCTGTGTACCTAAATCAGAAGTAAACTAAGGTTCAGAGGCAAGAATAAATAATCTTCTACACTTCACTAATCAAGGAGGTCTTAAATAGGCATTTAAAACACAGTAATGAGACTCGGCTTTAGCTATGGGCATGTATTCCTCTTGAACTTCTGCCTGAATCTTGACAACTGAGAATTCACTCTTGTGTTCTTACTGCAAATTAAACATCTGTCCTTCTGCACCCTTGATCTGTACTACTATTCACTGAAAACATGCACAAAATACATGTTAGTAAAACCGTTTTAACATTATTATGAAAATAGTCTGCTGATGTGACTGCAGTATTTAGAACAGTTAAGTACATGAGTCAGGTGACATTTAATTTGAAGGTAGTTAATGTATGTATGTTTAATGGAAGCATTCAGCTGAAATCATACGGATTATCAGCCAGGGTTTATTTGTTGTATTACTGTTGGATTTGTAATTTTAATCAAATGAGTATTGTAGACAATATGGTTTATAACAGTGGAAGCAGTTTTATTGAGCCCACTGTAACTCCCATTAAGAAACCTTTCTCCATTTATCTGTGATTTAGTGACCTTCTGCTCTGTGTTGCTAAATTTTCGAACTTCTGTAAATAGCTTTGTATCACCTCAGTTTCCAGTTGTGAAAGAAGGTGGCATACGAAACTGTGAAAAACATGTTATAGCAGAACACTTTGTAATCAGCTGCTGGAGGAGTTTCTCAACATAGTTTCAAAGAATTGCACAGTTTGTCCCTTTTTTAGTTAAAATAATATGTGGCTTCTGGTGTGCTGCTTTCTCAATCCAGCCGTATGCATACCTCAGTTTAGAAAATGTACAATTTTTATTCTGTGTTTACTGGCATAGAAGAGATTTCTCCAAAAGAGAAATGATCATCTCACTGTTCCAAGGGCTAACTAGAGCAGTATCCCCTAGGCACTGAAATGCCTGCAGGAACCTAGTCTTTGAAATGCTTTTTTCTTCTAAAGCTCCCCTTTCATTTTGTTTCTCTTCTAGTGTCTTTTCTTCAGAGATAAATTAGAGAACTTCATCTTTTGCCACTGGAAATGGTCATTAATTAGATCTTGGTTTATATTTTTGTTGAAAATAAGTATGTTGCTGTGGCTAATTAGCACTCAGGTTAGGGTTCTGAACCAGACGCTGTTGAATTATTCAACAAGAAATACTTCATGCTGCTAAACTCTTTATAAATGCTGTATTTTAAGTCTCTCTCCTATTCTGGTGTATTTAAACTCTCTCTGACCTTCATTTTTCCTCATATCAATCCTTTTCTATTTGCAGGTTTTGCTGTTAAAAGTAACTAGGATCAGCATACATGCCAAACCAGAATTTTTTTGGCAATAATAATGCATGTTTCTACAGAGCAATGCTTTTTATGTCACTGGAGCCTGACAGGGTGAAGCCACAAAATGCTCTTTTCAGGACCCATGGAATTTTTTAATGAAGAACTCCAAGTGTTTTAGGAAATAAAAACACATATATGATTCAAAAAGGCTGTGAAATAAGTAGCTCACTTGATTCTTCCTGACAGGACAGGCAGTGAAAGTATCAACTTGTGAGTCTAATCAATGTGCATTTTATAGGTTTAATCAGGATTTAGGGCAGACTCAACACAACAACTAGTAAACCCCGTTCCAGTATCCTAGTGTGGCAGTCTGCAGATGCACAAACGAGTATTCTCAGAAAGGTTTGTACACCATTGAAGGACAGCTGTGCTTACATCCCGAATTTCTGTATTCCCCATTTCCTTGAAAGGACACACAACCACATCATTATATAGTATATAAAATTAAGCATTTAATGTTTACAAATATCTATATTATTTGAGCACTACTTTAAGTTAGATTAACATACATAATAGGCAATGGAATGTGAAAGCCCTTTTGTATTTTTCTATACACATTTTTACCAGCTTTTTTGGCTTTTCTGTGTAGTGCAGTCATGGAATCTGCTTCCGAATTTGATTTACAGCATCTGTCAGTGCATAACCTCACTGCTGCAGATGCTTGTGTGTTCTAGCATGGACGCATGTACATATTCTTTCACGTCTTTGTGGAAGATATCTAATTCTGTAAAGATCTCTTATCATTAGTGTGTGTTGTCTAGTGTTTTTAATTGGAATATACCCTAGCACCTCGGTTTGTCTAAATGAGGACTTCCTGGAGGGGAGCTATAGCCCCCTGCTAGGACTGCCATTTGTAAATGGACTCTAAACTATGTGTATCCATATAGGTGCACATCTTCCTTCCTTCTGGTTAGCAGAGCAGAACTGCTGCTTCTTCACTTTATTTAAGCTATACTAAATAGTGTTAAGTCTCTTCCTGGTAGTAGTTGAATTGACTAATTGGTACATTCAAAGGCAAAATCCATTCAGTGTGAGACATGAGCACATAAAGCAATCTTATGTTTTTCTGGAGAATCCATTTTTCACTGAGCAATTCAGTTAGGTCCAGCTCTTAATTCCTGGAATTTTATTTACAAATCTTTGCAGCTTATGTTCCGAACTGGGGGCATTACCACTGCTGAGATCTGACCACCACTTACTCTGAGTTAAGATCAGAGTTTATATTTCTTTCTGATCATCAAAATTATTAAACTCTTATGATATTAGAAGGGATTAAAGAATTGACAAGTCAGTACAATAATATTGTATCGACTATTTTTTGCCTTGTACATCAGCTTAGAGGATCTATAATGCTGGTACCTATAGCTAAGCTAGTCCATCCTGAACACAGAGTTATGGGCTTGTAATCCCTCACTTTGCATTTCTTTGGTGGTCTTCTAATACTGTGATATAATTTCACAACTAACGTAGCTAAAGACTCTACATGAAGCTGCAGTATTCATTTCAGTAATGGAATTTTCATACTTTTAGACCTATTTGTCAAATAAAAAAAGTGGCTTTTTTTTTTTTTTTTAATGTTCTGTCTTTTTAAAAAGCCTTTCTGCTCATTCAGCAGATAGAAAGACTGCCCAGGATGTTGCAGAGCTTTTAAGTTTCCTACACTAGAGCTTTTTTTATGCTTAATTTAGGAGAAATAACGTAGATTTTTTACCATCACATCTTCATTGCTTTGTATTTGTCAACTTCTAACTTTGTTAGATAACCTTTAGCTGTCCAGTTATATCTCATCAGAATCCTGTTTTTTGAAAACTACTGAAAATACTCATTACTCCTTCATCTGGATTATTAGAAGGTCTTTTATTCTTTTCATGTGCAGCTACTCACTCTCCAATTTTTCTTACCTTCTATTTTCAGAATCTTTTAAAGTGAAACTAGAACTAGAATCTTTGTCTTTTTATGCAGACGATCTCACAAGACGCTATTCTTGTGATAACATGCATTTTTCAATGATGTGATTTTGACTAGAAGCATATTCCCTCTTTCAAAGCTTAGAATAAGACTTTGGAGAGCAAAAATATAGAGAAAGCTATGGAATCTGTTCTCTTCATCATGGTAAGTGTCTGTATCTGTCAGTGAGCTTGGATGTGGTAAAGAGCTGTTGATTCTAGGAAAAGAAATATGTCTGACACACTTAAGCATTTTTCTTTCACAAGCAGTGATATGAATTTTTCCTATCTCTTTATCCCACATGGAGTACAAACAGCCTAAATTTAACACCTGCCATTGTTTACTGTTCTGATCTCCAAGAATCCAGAACTATGCATTTTTAATTACTGAAAGTACTATTGCCTATATATATTAGTTACACAAAATCTTTTTAATAATATTGTGGAGTAAAGACACCCTGATTTTGACCTTTCATGAAATTGTAGTACTCTATGGGGAATGTCCTCTGCTTTCCAAACCCTATTTTAACATTTTTTTTTAAAGCTTTGATCCTATCTGCCAAAGGAAATATTATTTCTACAAGTCACTTGAGAAAACAAAGATACTCGTATATAACTACATACTTGGTTAGATAAGTGCAAGGGGCTTCTATATTTTTTTTCTTCTCCTTCCTGTCTCCTCTGTTGTAGTTTCTTGGTTCATTAGGAACTGAAGGGGAAATAGAACAGAACTATGCAATGGGAGGAAAAGACAGAGTTTAATTGGACTTTCCTTGATTTAAAGTTTCTGAATGTGGAGAATGGGGAAGAGGCTTGCC